TTAGAAATTCCCAAACCCAGAAAGAGGAAAGTCCCAATAAAAACAAACAAACCAAACCAGATCCTTTAGGAGTTGAATTTTGAAGTTTTGACTTCCTGATTCTAAGGATGGGTCATATTTTAGCTTCAGAATAATAGTAAATGTAGCTTAAAAACACCATAGTTAAAATAATGAATCTCTTCCGTGTCTGTCAATAGATTTGGCTTGTAGGTGTCTCAAGTGTAACTCAAATACAAATTGTAAACCATACAAGCCCCCTTTCTAACTCAATCTCTTTATATGGAAATCTCTTTAGCCCAACATTTTTTGCTTCTTTATTGGAATTTGTTTTTTGTTTTTTATTTCATTAGATGTGGTCAATGGCTCAGGTTACACTGACAATGAGAGAAAATTTTGCCTTTCCTCTATAAATAAATAACTGGGGTTCAGTTATTAACTATTAAGAGTTATACGTGTCTCTCTGTCCTCTGGACTAGCCATTGCATGTTTGTGATTCAAGAGGCTTCCAGTTGCAGTGGTCTGGACCTAGAGAAGTAAACACCTGGTGAGCATTCAATCCTTGGTTTCCAGAAAGTGATGTCTCCCTAGAACAGAAATTGAAAAGCATTTTGATACCAGCTTTTATGAAACACATACTAGTAGATAATATAAGGTGAAAGTATCGCTATAGTTCTATGTCATCACAAAGAAAATTTTAAAGAAGAATTAATTGAAAGAGCCATAAGCAAGTTCACTGTGGCACCACAAGGTTTTTTTCAGTACCTGGAGTGTTCAGAACTTCTCATTGCTGTAGGGTAAGTATAGGAAAGCTTGATGGAGGACGAATAATGTGTGATTCATGAGCCTCTCTTTCCCTCCCAACTTTTTTTTTTTTCTTGTATGTGTATTCTTTTAAGAAATATTTCAGTTAAAATATAATACATTTCATTTTACTCAGTATATCCCATCTCCTTTCTTTAGTCTCTGAAGGACGTGTGTATATCCAGCTGTACCCAGAATAGCAAAAGCTAAGGATCAAATGGTTGCTCCCTCTCAAATACCAATACCACAAATTGTACTTGACACACCAAGGCATTATTTTAAAGACGGACGTTAACTGACTAAAAATTATTTCCTTCCTACTGTTTTAATTTTTCTTGTTACCACGTTCTTCATATATATATATATATATATATATATATATATATATATTTTCCTGCAAAACTCTGCATTTACTAACCTATATAAAGGAAGACCTAGACAGTTTCACAGTAGCCTACTTTGTCATCAGTTTCTTCATTTTGATAAGGAGTCATTTCAGTAATATATCATTTCAGGTAAATAAAAGAGGCACCAGATTAAAACTCCCAATCTGGAACTATCAGGGTGTTCACCAGTAATTGCTGTTTCACCTTATACACCTGCAGCTTGCTGGGAAAGACTTGTGTCTCCTCCTCCTATGTGCCTCTTACTCTAGTGCTTAGCATTTCTCTGCTCTTGGGATTTTTTTCATTCCATGGAACCATGACCCACCGTTCTTTCAAATCACAAAATTAAAAAGCAAAGAAATGAAGACAAAGTAAATCAAATCTATTTTATGATATACATTGCAATACCATGTCCTCTTACACAGAATAATAATAAACTTAAAGGATTTCTGTGGATCTTGGAAATCAATACTTTGAACAAACCACTCTTTAACACCTGGAAACTAACTTAAAGAAATGTAATCCATATCATGGTTTCTCATTAATATTACAAATTCTATGAGTGCATGAGGACGTATGGATAGATCATACTTCAAGGTGTGAGTTAAGAGTGTTCTAGAAAACCTTTTAGAAAGCATTGATACAGTGGAGCGCCCATGGAATTCATCTCTTCCTGCAGTATGTTTTATTATGTCCTAGAATTATTTATTAGGAGAAAAACAATTTCTGTTAATTATTTATTAATATTAAAATATTGATGAGCATTACCTAAATGTAACGGGATTCCGGCTGGTGCTCGGGGTTCATACTGCTGACATGCACCAACTCAAGAGGCGTGTATTAAAAGAACAGAACAAATGACTTAACACGGGCCTAAAAGCAGCAATCAGAAAAGGTTCATTTAACTTTCTAGATGGCGCAAGCTTCGAGCAATTGCCTCTACTTAAGTAAGTGTGGAATCACAAAAGACCATTTATTACAGTCAAACAGGACCCTGCAGCTTGCTCAAAGACCTTTGAAGAATTTCAACAGTTATAAAGTCTTGCTCAGTGCAGAAGCAGTAAAAATTGGGCAGACCCCAAACAGCCTGCAAAGCTTTCATTAAAAAGTTAATACAGTCTTTGTCACAATCATTCTTTGAAATGAATGTGTTTCTCACTTTTTTTTTTTTAAGAGATGCCATACATGATAATTTTCAAACTTCTTTGAAAATGGATTTTAAGTCTTAGGGAAAATAAACCAGTTTCATGGTGATACGGAATGAATGTACGGTCTCCATGTGTTATTTGGAAAGTGTTCCAACATCGAGCATCTTTGAAATGCTCTGTAAGTGTATATTAAAAGTTACTCTATTAATGGATTTAATTCAGTAGGAAAATTAGTGGAATTTTTCTGTTTTTGTTTTTTTTTAAAAGGAAAACTTGTTTCCCAGGATGTTAGGGCTGCGATTTTTCTATTAGCAATTGGATAATGAATTATTTTTTTTTAAGTAGTAGGATTAGGTTAAAAGAAAATAATTCTCAAAAAATTAACATACTTTTATTTATTTATAACTGAGTGATATATTTATTTAT